TCCATCACACGGGATACATATTTCCGTGTAAAAACAGTCAAGGGCCTTTTTATTCAAGTAAATTCCCATTTAATATTGTGCTTTTTAAAGGAAATAGAATTAATTCATAAAATGTTCTTGTTCATAGTGTGATTTTATATTTTGGCAGTGCTAATTAGTAATTAGTTAGTGGTTGTACCCTCATCACAAGGAATAAATATTTCAAATCATCTATTAAGGACATTTTTAGTGGTATTAATTGTCGTTTAATCATCAGGAAATGAGTTGTTTGGAAATGTTTTGATTGATATGTCTTGTAAAATATAAATATCTGAAAGTTGGTGGATTAAATCAGCCACTGAGATTGTTAGTGACTGTATCCTCGAAGGGGTTAAAGTACTGAAAAAATAGTGTCCCCTCTAAGTTCCACATCATTCAAAGTAATTAATTTAATTAGGCCTACCCCAGTTTTAACCGTAGTATACATTGTATTTGTTAATTTTTATTGATGGCTAAAATTGACCACAATCGGGGAAGGTTGGGGGGGATGGTGTTAATCCTGCTGTGGAACCATGCAGGTAGCAGAAGTGATCTACCTGATAATGTATTCTTGTAAATGTTCTGAACCAGTTTCAAATTGAATTTATGATATTCTAGTTATTGTACTGTCCATCGATGACAGGTGTTTATTTCGTCTAAATGTATCTATTATTAGTGTATGGTTTTGTCTCGTCACGATGTGGCTGAAATATTGCCGATGTGACGTTAAATTGTAACTCACTCACTGAATAAGTAACTGAGTTGGTTTAACTCCGTTCCGAACATTATTACAATATAATCATGGCGTGTCAGTTAATGCCTGCTGATGAACCAAGAACCATAATCATTATCTGGGATTCGGATGACACACTTGGCACACCTAAGCGTTGCAATCCTGAGCGAAAAATTCTAGAAATGACGTGAAATATAAGTTGATTTCTTTCTGTTTTTCAATTGTAGTTCACTACGGCTCTCTCACGGCTATCTACTGGAACCGCTTAATATTTGTGCCTGGAATTATCTTTTGCAATTGCTGACATTTAAGTGGTTTTAAAATTTTGAAATCCAATTGATATATCTAAATATAAAAGTTAGTATGATTACAAATGTTAATGACATTATCCAGATTAAAAGTATATTTGTTTGTTTGTTTGTTTGTTTGTTGTTTAACGCTGCACTCCGCAATATTTCAGCTATTTGACGGCGGTCTGTAAATAATCAAGTCTGGACCAGACAATCCAGTTATTGACATCATGAACATCGGTCCTCGCAATTGGGATACGATGACATGCATCAACCAAGTCAGCGAGCCTGACCACCCGATCCCATTAGTCGCCTCCTACGACAATCATAGTCGCCCTTTAAAGCAAGCATGGGTTGCTGAAGACCTTTTCTACCCCGGATCTTCACGGGTCTATAATATTTAAATATTCCTAGTTAACACGTGTAAGAGTACCTGTTGTTACATATGCTTGTCGTAGTAGACGATTAAATAGTCACATTATAACTTCTTATTAATATCATGGTGTCTCTGTCAATCTCTGAGGTCATATCAGCTTTTTAGTTCCGTGTTGTAGACGGTAAAAAGGCGAGCCAGAAAGAGAGTGCACGATTATGCAAAACAATACAGGGTAATGCAAGAGAGTGCACATATAATGCAAGCCAGCGTAAGATAGTAAGTGTTGCTTGGGCAGACGTGAGGTAATATGCGATAAAAGCTTGTCGGCAGCAACACTCTCGGAGTGATCCGAAAAGATGAAAATAATTCCTTCTAAATATACAGAATCATGTGAAATAGACGACGTCCTAACGTCCGACGTTGGTGCCGACAACAAACAAAAGCACAAAGTAGCACATTTGACAGATATGTTTGACACAATGCCAGTGTTCTTTTGTAAGCTCTCATCTTCTAAGATGATGAACTGCGCATCCGAATACTAGCATAGCATTTGAATGTTCCAACTGTAGATGTTACGTTTATGAATATAATATCTGCTTGATGACGCAATGTACGTTTCGATTATATGTTTGTTTTTATGCCGCCACCAGCAAAGTTCCAGCCACAGCTAACATTTTCCTACTTCCATAATCAATGGCCTTGTAACATTGCAGGTTTCGACGAGAGTATGTTCTTCAAGTACTTTGCAGTGTAAAGCAGATATCTCCTACACGGGAAGGGGTGTGAATAGGTATGTAAAAGCCTTATGAAATGAAGGAATTAAATCAAACATTTATATGTATATATGCATCACAAAAGTAATAAATTAATACATAATTAATAAAACATAAAGGTGCTACAATGTAATAAACGCGTGGGTTTGAATTCAGAAACATTATCACGTCATGTCATGGACATTTATAAAGAACTGCCAGAACATCATGATGTCTCTTCACACAATAGTCTATACACTAATGTTGTATTATCACCTTTCGATATCCGATCTCCAGTGGGTGTGTGAGTATAGTTTTACGCCGCTTTTAGCAATATTCCAGCAATATCACGGCTGGGGACACCAGAATATGGGCTTCACACATTGTACCCTTGTGGCGAAACGAACCCGGGTCTTCGGCGTGACGAGCGAACGCTTTAACCATCCTAATGCCCCTTCCGATCCCACCATTCCTGATTGCTTGAGACCTGTATTATACCATGTCCCCAAATGTGGTGTGTATGAGTGGGTAAGTGAGCTGGGATTAATCCGCTTTAATCATTATGTGAGTTATGTTGGTTTTTTTTAAAATCATGGACGCAGATCGTAGACGCTTGCCACTTCAATGATACCACGAGCACGGATATGGTGCTGAAAGATGACGTGTCAGTACAACATTAAGTTGAAATTCGATCACACCTTTTCAACTCTTGTGTGCTGACAGATCAAAGAGTTTAACGTGATACCATGAAACAAGATTAAAAACGTAACGCAAACGTAAAATAACGCATCTGTCACCCTCAATGTTCTCAGTAAAACTGCTTCACTTTACATCGTATACAATTAAACACCTGCACATTCTATGGTTGTTTATTATTTCACTGACAATCTTCAACATACATTATCTCTCAAGGATTCCATGAGATTCCAGGATCTGTGTCGGGGCGTGCACTGAAAACAAAGACAGAAACCTTGAAATTCATATTGAATAAACCTTTTTTTACTCAAAAGCAAAGTATCTTTGATCATCTAAATATGTATCGTAATTTAACACTGCTCATCCTATTCCATTGAGTGAGTGATGTGAGTTATTTTGTTACGCCTCATCAGCATTGTTACAGCCACATATAGATTATTATGAAAAACGAGTTATGGACCACTAGCAACCAGAACCCTACCACCAAGTTAGGGATCACTTGCAGTACATCTGCTTCTTGCGTGATACCCCATGATACTTCATCAGTTGCTTCCATTGAAGATATAAAGTGTTCTGGCGTTTAAAGTGGCTGAATATGGACAAAAGCATTTTTTACACACAATATAATGAAGTATATTCCCGTTTCCTGTTAGATACTACATAAACATCAGTCTGTATGTAGATGGTGCCGTGTTAAAATATTGACGCATATTCTCAGGACACGTACAGATCCGGTGTAGAAGTGCAGTCACCTTGATATATACTTTACTAATCCCCGGGCGTCAACTGCTTAATCCCGCAGCTTTCAACCAATAGAAAAGAATCAATTCATTAGACCCACGAGTCGTGTCTGATGGTCTTTCCCGTTTGTGCTCTTACGCCTCATGTTCATATCATCAGTTTTCCTATGCAAATTCCGTTACCCTGAATTCACATGTATTGATTTGCAGAGCTCGATAGTAACTGGTCGGATTAATTTCACCAACAAACTGTTACATGCCATTTGTGCGCTTCTGTCATGTGTTGTCTCGAAAAGTCTGCTGATACAAAGCAACAGTTTTTCATCATACTTTTACCTAAAATGATGTCGTAAACGGCGACTATGCTTGTCGAAAGAGGCGACTAACGGGATCGGGTGATGAGGCTTTCTGACTTAGTTGATGCATGTCATCGTATCCCATTTGCGTTGATCGATGCTCATGATGTCAATCACTGGATTTCCTGGTCGAGACTCGATTATTTATAGACCGCCGTCATATAGCTGGGATATTGCTGAGTGCGGCGTTAAACAACTAACAAACAGACAAACCTAACATGACGATGCATGGGTTATTGTGGGAGTATTGACCAAGATGTATTGCTGGGTGTGGCGTTTGGCAACATGTACACATTTACCTTTTTATGCTACAGGTAAAGCAGGACATTCTTACTCTATCCGCGAACACCTCTTGCCATCACTGATTTAATTATCTATTATTTATTTCTATAATTTCTATCACCATTTTGCTTTTTATGCCCAGTGGACTGCTTCAGCAAATAACCCAGTCAGATTTTCCTGTGGCGTTGTCGTTTTACTTGAACGGCTGGTATGATTTCTGCATGCAGGTATCACTCACTCACAATATGAACACTTTACAATCCTTTACAATCAATCACTTATGTATACAATACGTATTTTGTATGGTAGGTCAGCTGAAACGATTGTGGTTTCCCTCCATTCTGACCCGTGTACTGCTAATGTACAGAGTAACACTGACGAGGTTACTGCCGTGTAACTTGTAAAAATACGACCAATGACGATCAATGTTTGACCTTTCTTATCACATGCCATCGTACACCGACGGTGTGGGTTATCACGTATGCAACGAAAAACTGGTTTGCCTATGACAAACTCTATTATCGGCAGGAAGCACCGATATAGTCGGGTTCGTCGTGATGTAGCGTGGATGTTTCTGCTAAATGCTTATCAACAATACCTTAACACGTCGTCACACATTTTCAGTGATCCATACGTAATGTTAACCACTATTTTGCCTTTTACACCCTATGGAATATGTTACGACACATATTCGCGACATTTGTCTCTGGTGTTCTCGTTTTGAATGCTTTGATATGTGAAATGACAAGAATGGACAAATTCGAATTCACTCTTTATAATCCAACAGATATGTCTAGTCGGGGCACGATTGCGTTGTGTAGGGCCCCATGGTCATCGTCAGATCCAAGAATCGCACTGGTTATGATCCTTGGTGTCTCGGCACCAGCTTGCGGGTTTCGCAAAAATGGATTTACTTCTGAGGCCGGCATCACTTTGGCCTTCTTCCGACAGTTAATACAGATCTAACTGAAATAATGTTAGCGGGGATTACCCAACTCGCTCCCCCAACAGTCTGTCCCCAATGAACTGCAATAGAATATAATACAGCATTGGATGTCATTTCAATTTGTCTTTTGAGATCGGGTAAAGATTTCTTTGTTTGTGTATTTGCTGTTTGCCGAACCAATCTTACAGCTATATGACGGCGCTCTGGAAATAATCGAGAACCAGACAATCAAGTGACATCAATTGGGATACAATGACATCCATCAACCGAGTCAGCGAGCCTGACTACCCGATCCCGTTAGTCGTGTATTTCGACAACAACAGGTCACTGAAGATCAGTTCTAAACCGGATCACGTGTGAAATAGGGTTTACAAATATTTGGACAGATACAAATTCGAAAATATTCAGTGCATGCTCCTTCCTCTCATAAAGTATCGTTTTTTACATCAATGACATATAATAGAACACATACCTAGTATGTAGTACTGTAGTAATGGTTCCTTCGAGGATAGCGTGGGTAGTGCTTTTTTGGGAGCGGGTAATCATACCCATATCGGTGTTCATTATCATCATTGTGTCGTTGTCCGTAGGTTGGGTAATGATAACGGTTGGGGTATCTGGCCTGGGCAACAGTCAACGCCAGAGCGATCAACACAACAGCCAACAGGTTCCTCATTCTGGTGTTCCCTGGGGGAAACGAAGTACAGTCTGTAACAAAGAAGTATATACTCGTGATCAGTTGTTACACAAGTGGTAAGAACATTTAGCAAACTAACATACAAGTATTCAAAAACAACATAGTCTCCAGTTACAAATGTTCAGTGTATACTGGGACGATTGGGTAGCCTAGTGGTTAAAGCGTTCGCTCGTCGCGCCGAAGACCCGGGTTCGATTCCCGAAATGGGTACAATGTGTGAAGCCCATTTCTGGTGTCCCCCGCAGTGATATTGCTGGAATATTGCTAAAAGCGGCACAAACCCGTATTAACTCACTCAGTTTAGCTTGTTTGACTTAACGTCATTCTCCTGTGTGCATGTGTATACATATGTGGTATCAAGATTGATCATTTCAATCACTGGATTGTCTGATCGAGACTCGATTAATTACAAACCGCCGTCATATAGCTGGAATATTGCTGAGTGCGGCGTTAAACAACAAACAAACAAACTTCGAGGAAAAGATTTGTTTTGTTTGTGAGGAACGAGGTACCAATCAGACGCCCGCCTTATTCTCAGCAAGAAGATAATGTTCAGTATACCTTTCTTGGTTAAGGCACATATGCAGTGGTTAAGCAGTTTGTTGGTAATTGGCTGGAGAGAGGAGGATCCGAGAAAGGGATCCATAGTCACCAAACATTCAGTGTTACATAAACAACATGTGTATATTTCACATTCACAATAAAACAACAGAACCCTCTCTGTTAATAATAGTTTTAAATTTTCAGATAACGCTGAATGGATCTTCAATTGTATAAAAGTCCCGGATGGCTTATTCAAAGAAGTCTGTACGAATGATTGATATATTTCTAAATCACAAATCACTGATATCAGGACGATATTTACTTATGTTGGAGTGAGTGAGTGAGTGAGTGAGAGCGGGTTCATTTCGCTTTTAGCAACATTCCACAAATATCATAGCGGGGGATACAGGTAATGGGCTTCACACATTGTACCGATGTGAACGAACCAGGGCCTTTGGCTATCCCACCGCCCCTCTTGATGTTGGAATCAATCGAATTAGTGAGATAACTAATTCTCCTTATCGCAATATTTGCTGTCTTCTCTGTACAAATACATGGGCGGATACAGCTTTTTTTAAAAGGGGGGGGGGGGGTACACAATGAAGATCTATTTATTGTCTTGGTGGTAATTTATACAGAAATAAAAATATTAAAAAAATCGAAATAAAAAGGGGAGGGTGCGGATTGTGTGCGTGTGTGCGTGCCAGTTTTGCAGTGCTGGTTGAGATACTAAGGCACACTTTTAACACAAATGCCCTACTTAGATACCGAATACTGGCTCCGAAACGACTAGCACTTATTTAATCCCCTTAATACGGAGAGCTCTGTGGGGTAACAACAAGTACCATCTTTTAACGTCTTTCGTTATAACGCGGTCGGGGATCACCAGGAAGACGCTTTACTTAATTTCATAGATGTGACAGACAAAATGCTGAAATGTTTTTTTGATGCAGTATGATATTAAGGGAGACATTATTATTTTCACCAACGTACAGGAGGAATTTTAGAACTCAATAAATAAATTTCGAATTTGTGATTGATAGTGATTATTTAGGGATATCGAAATGCGAATTTGTGAAATCAGTAGATCAATTATTGATATCAAAGAATATAGAATAAAATGTTAATTTAGATGATTCAGGTGATGATGGTGATGAATAGAACATTAATTACTTACCGGTTTCAGGGCAAGACTTTGTTTTGTCAAATTGTGAATATTGCTTCTCTTTTATAGAACAAGAGACCACGCTAACATGTTTTTCTTAAAAACATGGAGGAATTCGAAGGACCGTTAACATTCTTCAGTTGGCGTCAGCTGAAATGGAAAGGGTTCGTTGGAGGAGCATGCATTTATGTGTTCATTCGAATGTAAGGCCTAGTACGTACACAAATGATGATATATTAGCTATTTTGGAATGGAAACATTACTAATAATGGCATAATTACTGTCATATTTTGACGTTTGAAATACAAATTACGACCATTCATCATCTTTATGATATGAAAAGTGGGACTTAGGACGACAATAGGGTCATGTCAACATGGCTATGTAATGTGATTGCAACACTTATCCTTTAAATTGCTATTATCTCGGACATCTTGTCACTGCCTGTCAATAGAAATCGGAAGATGGAATAAAACTCCGTTGAATGAACGTTAATGCAAGTTCTGTAATAGATTTGACGTCGGAGATGAATTCCACTATATTTTTTAATGTAAATATTTCAGTGAACAAAGGGACATGAACATCCAAAACCCGATTAATAAAACTCCAGCAATTATTTATCTGACATAAGATATCTGTCCAAAAGAAACTTTGTTAATTTGTTAACTTCATCATGAAAACTTTAAAAACTTCCGGTTAACCTTGGTCCACCGCAATGTAAAATACTGTTTGTACCTCATATGCCGATGCACTCGGCCTGAGAGAAATAAAGTGTTGACCGCTCTGAACTAGTTGTACACCCAACACAATGCAATAAACTTGTACACTATATAGCGTGCCTTTGCCCAATACACCACATCGATCCTTACTTTGCCTAGACGGGTGGTAGTGTGGGCCAGGTTTTATCAATCGGCTGCTCATGCAAAAGCCTGTGAATTTAGTTTCATTTGCACACTGTTGGGCTACATATCATGGTTTTGACTTTTTTAAATTCAGATGTCACTTGACACACAGAACAATGTCATGTTTTCCTCCCATGTATGTAGACTTTTGAAACTATGGAAAAGTTAATAATTAATAGGACGTCGTCATATTTGCCTAGAGCTTTAATGCCCAGAAAGCCGTGGCTCATGAGGGAATCTGGTAGAACATGTTCTATTTTTCTTGAGTATACCCTCTTATTATCCTTGGCGTCGCCCGGCTGAGGCCCATACGCATATGGCATCATCCTTGTTGATTGACACTCCTTGGTGGGTGGGGACCCAAGAGGATGAAACACAATCAATACCAACATGGAACACCCTTTGAAGAAACCTTCCTATGAATCTCACAAGGGGAGATATCTGCAGTGCATCAATTGTTCCCCGCCATATAATGCATTGTGCAAAGGTAGGAAGTAAGCTATGGGAGGAGAGAATTGGTGTAAAGTACAGTAAATTGGTTGTTATTAATGTAGTTATCTTTGAAAAGCACAATAAAAGAAACAGTGTCGTTAATTGGTCAGCACAAGGAAAACCAAAGCAAGAAAACATATAACTGGGCCTGTCAGTCAGAACTTGATATAGACCAACTATTAGTACAAATAATATAAAAAAAATAATTGATTACAAGTCCTATATCAAACACAACAAATGTCATTTTTTGGCAACAATATTAAGGTTTCTGGTCAAAAGTTTCAGTCCAAATGTAAAAATATGTTCACGCATTCATTAAGGGATTCCCATTTATCTAACAGCAAGTTAAGAACATACAGGTTTGACAAGTCATCTATAAATATTGTGACTGTATTGATTTTTCCATCACAAGGGATAATTATTTCAAAGTTTCATCACTCAAGGATCTTTTTAACATCAACTCTCATTTAATTATTGTTTTTTTTAAAGAAATTGAATTGATTAATATTTTTTGATGTAGAAGGTTATATATTTTATTAATTGGTACTATATAATTATGAACTGAGATTGTTAGTGGTTGTACCCTTGATGGAGGTTGAAGTAGCGTAAAATCATTGTCCCCCCAGCGATGGTGCGTAAGCCCACTTCATTCAAAGTAATTCCTTTCTACCAGATTTTTAATCGTAGAATGATTGTTTGTTTTAATTTTGGCTAAATTTCTCAATAATCACCAATAACTGAAGGGATGGTGTAAATCCTGCCGGGGTCCATGCAGGTAGCAAAGGTACTGTAAGTCCCCATGGTCCCTGGTATGGTGGCCTAACTTGGTAATTATTGTTGGTAATCAATAGCCTGTTTTTATGATGTGTCGTCTGTCATAATCCAATCATTTTATTGTTCTAAAACTAGTTTTAACGTTATTATCTGTGATATACTGCTAGTTGTTGTACTGTCCTTTGACGACAGTTTTTTTATATATGCTATAACTTGTTCAAGTCACGATATGGCTGAAATATTGCTGATGTGACTTTAAATATTAACTCACTCACTATAACTATTGAGAATTATCTTACATGTTGTAAAAACAAAGCTGATAGGTCACATTCCTCAAAACTTCGTTTAAGTAATCACAAACTAAACATTGAAACTGGCAGATATACCAAAACACCAACCCCACTGGAACAACATCTCTGTGAAACATGTGATGATGTCTCAGAAGATGAGCAACATTATATTCTGACTTATATAAAATACAACCAAGAAAGAGAATCACAAAAAATCCTCAAGCATGATAAAGTACACTCAACACCAACACATTATCCAGAAACAACTTCCAAGATCTGTTATCATATAAACAATTACAAAATCCTTTTATGTACAACAATACCCAAACAAATTTTAATTCTCATATTGATTCCACATCAATATAATACACTTGTACCTCCTTGTTTAATGTACCGGAGTGTTTTAATTATCACTTATTGTGCATATTTTTTGTAGTGATAGTGCAATATTGCAACTGTTTCTTCGTGGAAAACATATTTCATCTCAAACATCTTTGTTGTATGATAGTGTCTTACAGTTGTGTACGCTGCAATTCGCTATGCAGAGTTTTGTCCTTTGGGCACAACAGAAACCTATGACAGTGTGTTTGAACCCCGGTTCGTCCCGATTTTGTTGTCAGCACAAACCCCGTGCTCGTAGTGAACATCTAAGACCTGCATCACTTCGAGCTTTCCTCCCACATCAAGCTGACTCGCCGTGATATAAGTAGAATACTATTCAAAACGGCGTTAAATCCAACTCCCTCACTCACTCTTGTGTACGGTTCCGATTGGATAACTGGGTTTGTGTTGTGATAACTTCCGGTTTAGATTTGAAGTATGTTTAGAATAATGTTACTATGTTCAAACCAAATACCGTGAATATATCATGCAATCGTGTTATATTTTAGGAAAATAACTGCAAACTACAGACCAACCTGTTGATTTCCTATGTATCCAGAAGCAAAGAACATATACGGATGTATAATCTCTGCCGGGAGTTAAAAACAACTTTTAAAGCAATAAACCATGCATAACTGTAAACCGCCGCATGAAACGGTATGAATCATACATTACATACAGTGAACTACTTGAAATAATACCGTGCTCAACTATGCACATGTACAGCAAGCGCCATACATGTGATTATAAAGACAACTAATAATTTTTTACAAATTTCTCATATCAAACCCGTTGTTTTACATTTGTTGTTTATTGAACGAAGTCATACCTTATAGAAGCCTGATATTTAATCGTGTTCAACAATAAGTTGCAATAGCAGTGTGAAGGGACATAGACGGGCTTGACCTAAATTCCTCCCTGGAACCTTTCTCGATGGCTGCCTGAATACAATACTTTACATTGCAAAGGTAGTGCGCAACAGCGCTGTTCGGGTAGGGGAGATAATCACTCACTCTCAGTGATACAGCTTGAATAAGATCTGAGGTACAACATTGCAAGGTCAGTGCGTGATAAAGCTCTATATTACGCCAAAAGCTAAAGTTTATTCTTACAAAATATAGACCGGTTAACTTTAGAGAAATGAAATATACATTTCCCTAAACATTTTAGCTCTTTTAAAAACAAAATGAACAAATTGCTTGGGTTATCTGCATTACGAAACGTGACTAAGTCTCAGGATGTGACAAGCGATTGGTTAAAACATGTGCCGATTAAGTCCCTCTCATTTCATTTTAAAAAACTTCCAACTTTTCAGAGAAACAAAATAGCACCCTCCTTCAGTAAAAATCAAGGCGGAGAAGAATGACTGGTTCCATCCTGTAGATGATAGTCCACTGACCTCTCCTGTTACTGATTCTGCTTTGGATGGCAACCCTTTAAAGCTGAATCCATTTGCACTTGAGAAAGCAATATACGGCATAGCTGGAGATGTGGCAAATGGCAAAAGACTGGGTGCTTATTGATAGAATTAAATGATACAAAAGTGTTTCACTTTAGTCGCTTATCAATGTTCCATATGAGATGTCAGCACACAGCTTTTTGAATAGTAGGGGGCACGGGTGGCCCAGTCGTCTAAGGCGCAGCGATTCGCTGTGCAGAGTTGCGTCCCTTGGGCACGCCAGAAACCTATGATTGTGGGTTCGAATCCCGGTTCGCCCCGATTATGTTTCTAGGTTTGTCAGCACCATACCCGTGCTCGTGGGTTTCACCGAAGTGGTAAACGTCTAAGACCTGCATCACTTCGGGCTTTCCTCCCACATTAAGCTGACACGCCGTGATATGACTGGAATACTGTTAAAAGCGGCGTTAAACCCAACTCACTCACTCACTCACTTTGAATAGTAGCAGGGGAATCGTCGGCCACCACCCTATACAGACATTTCCCTACAATTCCCTACGAATAGAGGGTCAATTTCATATCAATATATTTATGTATGAACATTATCTCAAAAAGTATATGTTATACATTTTGCGTGCATGGGGGATGGGATTAAGATAGAATCCAATTGTTTTGCTTTTTCTCATAACTAAATGTGACAGATCTCACAGGATCATAACCTTGTGATCATGTTAAAGTTATACTTAACAGTTTCGAAGAACTGAAAAAATAGCAACTGAATTAAATTGGAAAGTGAGAGAAGAAATTAGTGGTCAATGTTTTTTCATAAAAACCTCTCTGTAGAATAAAGAACAGTTGCTATTTTCGAACTTGTCGGAATCCGATTTCAAAAAATCTCCTACGCTGTTAAAGTA